ATTCCCTACCCACCCTCACTCACTTCAACGCTTTATCTATTTTAAACCGATCATCGAATCGTTTCACTACGTGGAAAATAATTACCTCGGTGAGAGAGAAAAAGAAAAAAAAAAAAAAATGTTCTTATTATATTTTTTGACTTGTTCGTGGAATTTTTGAAAAAAGAAACATTCACGATGAAATCATTTATGTTGCGTTGCATTACATATCGTGTACACACTCTCTCACACACACATACTTACACGTATATCTCTCTTTGTAATAAAATTTTCCAACGAAGAGACGCATCTGTAACGACACACATACACGAATGAGGGAAAAACACGCATACGCATCGTACACACCTAATCATTTGAAAATACATTTGGATTATTTGGTTTCTTTTTTTTTTTTCGTTGTTGTTGTTGTTTAAACTTGCACGTAATTATTATCATGTTTCATTGTATAATTTGTATAATTTATTATTGTTATTAATAATAATATTTGTATTCGTATATTTCAAAATCGCATATAGTTAAATTAAATTACATTAAATATAAATGATGTTTATCAACGTGATGTATTATTATAGATTTCGTTTAAATATTATCATGCATAGAAAATCCTCAATTAGTATAATATGCAACTATGTGAATAAGCACAGTATTATTTTCATATCAACCCACGTGCGCAAGTTTCATCAATGAATTCATTCCGTGTCTCTTACTTGCTTGGCTTTATTGATTTTCTAGACGTAACGTAAAAAGGGGGATGGGGAAAACGAGGGGGTGTTGTGTTAGATGAGTTACAGAGCTTGTCTGTTCAGATTAAAAAGAGATGGAAAAGGAAATACTCTTGTTTAATAGTTTTCTAATCTTTTAGTCAAAACGATATTTTTTTTGTTTTTTTTTGTTTTTTTTTCAATTTGAAAAATATACAATTTTTAATCTAATCGTTAAATATATAATTCGAATCGATCGATCTGTTCGTTAATTTTTTTCTCCACTTTTTGTTCTGTTTTTTTTTTTGGTTTTTTTTTTGTTATTCCTTTTGTGCGTATGTTCCTTATCTTATTATAATAATATTTTATATGATTTATATCTAATCTTCGATTAGTGATAATAAATCCCTCTCACAAGTTTTTTTTTATCTTATTTTAATTATAAAAATTGTATTTAGGATTGATCGTGAAAATAAGGTTGGTACTTGAGAAAGACGAATGATTTGTTTGTATGTTATACGAGTCACTTAACAAAATGTATCGAAGATCGATCGATCCATCGATCTATTCAAAATTCTAAATTATGTTTTGACGCGATAGATTGATTAAAATTAATATATATATATATATATATATATTTTTTTTTTCTATGACAGTAATTTCATTGAAATTTCTAATGCAATTTATCGAATTTATTCATTTGTCTTTTGTTCAATACGTGAAATAAATAAATAAAAAAAAAAAACATATAAATCATCAAATAAGTTAGTATAATTTTTTGATTTTCAATTAGTTTGCTATCACCAATTACACCTGTGCAATTATATTTTTGTTTTTATCCTCGCAGTTAAGAAAAACCTTTCGAATTGAGTTTTAAGTATCAACGATAAATTAAACATAATTTAATCATTTATTGTATACCATTTAAAAAAAAAAAAAATATATATATATATATATATATATATATATATATATATATGTATATAAATAAATAGATATAGTAATATTTTTACCATAAAATTTGTCCAACGAGTGTCCTTATTAAAATAATAATGTAAAAGATAGGGGCAATTGCTTGACCCTTCCGTGTTTTATTTATTCCGAAGCCCTTTTTGAATCTACCGCTTGCAGGATGCATTAATTTTGTATTTCAATGAGGGGGTGACCATTATTACTCCCTTTTGCGATCCGAAATTTAAACAGTATTACTAGATATATGAATTTATTAATCAATCTGATTGCAAAAGGGGGCTCCAGTTTAATATATTTATTTATTTATATATTTATAAACATTTAATTATACAACAAGTTCACTTGGCCAAGATGATAAGCAACATCCGTTTCAAATTTACGTACATACATACATACATTATTTATTTATATATATATGTAACGTCTTTATATATATATGAGTAAGTATTTATCATGTGGCAAGTTTTGTCGTCACTTGATTTCGACTAGAGAAACGGACTAGACGAAATTGAAACTGTTCAACATATATATAGATTGCATAGACAGACTAGTTTTGTCTATTGATATTGTATTACGAAAATCTAATCGACAAATAAAAAACAAATACATAGATAAAGAGATAGATGGAGAATAAGATAAAGAAAAAGAATGAAGTGGAAATAAACGTAAATATATAAACAAGAGAAACACAAATATATAATCTTTACTATTTAAATATAAATATAATGATTTACTAAATAATTATATTCTAATTAATGTCACAATAATTATAAAAGAAATTCCTTTCACAATTTTATACAAGTATATACAATAGATAAATAGAGAGATAAAGAGAGAGAGAGAGAGAGAGAGAGGGAGAGTAAGGTATAGAAAAAAAATGACGTGGAAAAAAACATAAATACAAAATGATTTAATAATTGCATGACAATAAAACGAATCTTAGAATTTTTTTTTACAGACATGCAAACAAACGTTACAACGTGTACACACATACAAAAAAAAAAAGAAAATGTCGAAATCTAAAGAATATTTAATAATTAATAAAACTAATTAGACAATTATTATGAATGAAACATACAAACGTACAGATGCATAGAAACAAATTAATTATCAGAAGAGAGTTTTATGATGATCACAATCAAAACGTAGATTATATTTGTTCTTTAAGGTGTATCGTCAAAGAAAATCATATTAATGGTAGAGTAAAAATGACCTTGACATTAAAAGTACACACAATGATATAAGAATTATTTATTTTCAGGGTCGAGGATTTTCCTTCAGTTTTCTACGGTCGTTGCATTTTTTTTTTTTTTTTTTTTTTAAATCGATCAGAGTATACACATTATCCAATCGTAGAATTGCGTTTAAACCAGTGGCAGAAGAATAACATAAAGATAGAAAGAGAGAGAGGGAGAGAGAGAGAGAAGGAAGGAAAAGAGGAAGAGAGGGAAAAAGAGAGAGAGAGAGAGAGACACACAGCCAGAGAGAGAGAAAATGGCCCCCACCCATCAGCAGGAAGAAATAGAGGGGCGGTCATATAAAGAGTATGCTTACAGCCCTGTACCAGTGAGTTCCTCTTCGGCAGTGTACGAATTAACCACCACTACTACCACTAACGATACAATAACAACAACAACAACAACAACATCTTTTAATAAAGAAACATTAGTTGAAAATATTAATAATAAAGAAGAGTGTAAAATATCAGATACATTTGGAAAAGCTAAGGGCAAGTGCAGTGCTGCCGAAATGGCTGAGAAAGGATCTACTCTGTTGCAATACGTTGCAGCTGCTGCAGGTTAGCTATTTTTACTATTTTTTTTATATTTTTTTTTTTTTATTTAATCTAATATATTTAATATATTTAATATATATTTATTAGATGATTATCGTTAATAAAATACTATATTGAAATAATATGAAATAATTGCAAAGTTTAAACGCTTGGTAGTTGCAACATTTTTGAATGTTTCTGTTTAATGTTTCTTTTTATTTTTTATTTAGTATCAATTATTTAATATATATATATATATATATATATATATATATATATATATTTAATATATTTATTAATATATATGAAATATTATTACTATTGAAATACTATGGAATAATTGTAATGTTTAACGCTTTATTGCAAAATTATGGAATCTTTCGTTAGTGCTTCTTTATTTCTTTTTTCTCATGGATTCCCTCTTTTTTTTTTTTTAATTTTTTTTTTTTACAAACTATATCGAATTTGTATTAAAATAATTTTGTTTTTGTATGCATTGTTCCGCGCGATTATTAAGTTTAAATGTAAATTGAAATAGTTTTGTGTGCATTGACAATCTTTAAGCATCGTGTTTCATTTTGAAATGAACAAAATGATTTGTTGCGAATGTTATGGGATAAATTATTTATCGGATTAAAACAAAAGCCAGATTTAATTACAATGACGTTGAAATATAATTATCCATATATATATAATAATAATAATAATAAATTTTCTTGGGTTCGGATTTAACGTGATACACACAAACCAGACGAAAATAGATAAACTTTAGTCGATAACACATAAGCAGTAATAAGCCATGGTATCACGTCCTGACACATACACACTTACATGAGTTTCAAATTGAAATAGAGATATTTTCTTTGTGTTATTCTCTTTGTGTCTAATCAAATTTAAATCGTTGCCTATCATTATTGTTGTTTGGATCATTTGAATTTAATGTTGAAATGGAATTCGTTTAATTATATGTTTAACACGTTTGAATTAACGCAAACGTTCGTATTAATAATACGTAAAATTTAATTTACGTTAATTTGATTTTATTCACATTTAATATAAATGAAAATTATTCGCGATACTGAGAAGAATTTTTTTGTTTTTTTTTTTTTTTTAACAACTCGATAAGAGATAAGCAAACTTACGTAAATCTTTTGGAAAAAAATAATCGAATAATTATTTTTTCTTCTCTATTGTTTTTTAAGTTCATCAAATTTTGCAAATTATTTTCTTGGTATCAATTGTAAANTTTTTTTTTTTTTTTTTTTTTCTGTAGTTTAAAATTGACGACTAATCTTAAAATAATTATTTGGAAAAAAATAATCGAATAATTATTTTTTCTTCTCTATTGTTTTTTAAGTTCATCAAATTTTGCAAATTATTTTCTTGGTATCAATTGTAAACAAAAAATTGTTTTAAATCACTTTCAAGAATTTCATTGCGTTTCGATGTAATAACTAACAGGACGTGTTAGTTGAAACAATTTGTTAATTAACGAACGTAGTGAACTATTTATGCATGTCATGTTAAATAATAATTTCTTTCAATCGAAAACATTAAATAAATAAATAAATGAATAAACAAAAATTCAATTAAAATAAATGAATAAATTTTCAAATAAATATTCGAATAAAATAAAATAAAATAGAAAAAAAAACAAAAAAAACCAAAAAACAAAGATAAATAAAGAGAGAATGAAAGGAGATTAAAAGAAAATAAATTAAAGACGCACGTGCGCATTCGCGTGCATTTAAAATAAGCGCACAACATTCTGATCGAACTTCGAACTCGATGCCGACGTCCTCGAATAGTTGCAAACCACGTGACTAAAAAGCTTATGTATAAAAACACGTCACGGGGGTGTGTGTGTGTTCGTATTTTAAATCTCACGTATATATTTGTTTTTCATACTGCAATGAAAAATCTGACATATTTAAATTACAATTCATTGTGAATCAAATCAATTTGATTTCTTATCAAAACACAAACGCAATTAATTTCACAATTCCGTGAATTATCAATAATGCTGACGCAATTATGACACAAAATTTTCTTTCCAAGTATCTTATAATATCGTTACAAAATTTAATGATTTTTTTATTTTTATTTTCAAATAATTATTTCAATATAAACAATTATAGAATATAGTTAAGTTTAAGAAGAGTATGCAAATGAAATTCTTAAATGACGTTATCGTGCACGTGCTTCAGATGATTCGAATATGTTAAAGTTCAATAGTGTTATGCGGTCTTGTCGTTGTCAGGTGACGCATAACTTGATTTTGGTTACTATATTTAAAATCAATATATATATATATATATATATATATATATCTTTATTCCATCTCTGTGTCTTGTATTGCATTAACGTCTCGCCTTATTGCTAATTATAAAAATAATTAATCCTTTTTTAAAATCTTATTTTGAAATGTCTATCCATCCATCCATCCATCCATCCATCCATCCATCCATCCATCCATCCATCCATCCATCCATCCATCCATCCATCCATCCATCCATCCATCCATCCATTCATCCACTTGCATTTTTACATACAATACGCGTTAACATTTATTTTCTATTTTTATACATATTCTTTATATTAATTCGATCATTTTTGATCATACGTATTATTTGACAATTTAGTCAAATTAGTTTATTCGAAATCGTGAGAACTGCAAAAATGGCAAAGATGAGAATTGAAAATTTGTATTATTTCGTAACCTACACAAATGTCGTGTTTGATTCTATCAACGTCACAGATTACTATAATGGTTTTAACACAGCTAATGAGGAAGTAATTCGGCTCTATTGAAAGATCTTACATCTTTTATAAAGCTGATACTTTAATTTCAATCTTTAACACAGGATACTCACTTGTTTTCATATTCAATTTATTTCTACATCAAATTATTCCAATATATTTCCAATGTTTCTTATTTTTATATTCCAATTTTAATTTTACTTTTATCCTCATTTAAGTAAACCCCCCCCCCTTCCCCCCCCCAAAAAAAAACAAACCAACACACAAAAATCTTTTCCTCTTTCAATTAATTTTTAATTTATATTCTATCCTTTGGAAGAGGATTTTTTTTGTTTATTTCAACATTTAGTTTTTGTCCTTCCTCGTGTAATTTTCCGATCAATGACATCTCACGCGTATTTTCCCTTATTGGTTTTTCATTTCTGTTTTTTTTTTTTTTCATTATTTTATTTCAATGACTTTTCTGTATTTTTTCTTTTTTTTTTTTATCTTACAAACATGTGTTCATCTAAGTTCAATTATGTGTAAAATAAGAAACGTAGTACATGTATGCGTGCATGTATGTTAATAAACGCTTAATTAAGTTTTTATTCGAGATGACAAGAAAAAAAAAAAAAAATAATAAAATTATTTTCAAAGAAATTAAAAATGATGAGCATTTTTTTCTTTGTTTGTTTGTTTGTTTGTTTGTTTGTTTCTTCTCCCGATCGAATAATTCTGACAATACGCGAAACACAAAATATACAATAGGAAAAGGTGTTTATCGTAAATGTCAAATGATGTCTTTATTTTATTTTTAATTATTTTTCTGTTTTTTTTTTTTAATTTTTTTTCCTTCATCAATAAAGTCAAGTTTTAATTTAAATCACTTTCAATACTCAATTCGTACAACTTGAAAAAGTATTTCAATTTTCAATGATTAAGATTATTAAAAAGGACAAATTAAAAGGATCATTATATATTTAGATTAATTATTCGAATATTGATAGAAAAAAGTTGATCAAAAATTTGACTGACCCTCCCTTTCGTTTAATTTTTAATGTGATTAATTGAAATATTTAATAAAAAAAAAACAAACAAAAAAAGAGACATCTCTAAAAAAAAAACTATCGATTTGTCAACATATATATACACGGGTTAGATAATAATTATTAATAAATTTAGATTTGCATTTGTTAAACGTCAAGTGGATAGAAATTCTTATCGTTGCAAAAATTGATAATGCTACTACGTGTGTAATCACACCATTATCGATCGATAATAGCCATTTACCAGGATTACTTTTTAATTCCTAGAATTAATTCTACGCGATAATTCTCGCACTTACAAGTGGAAAACTTAGTTCTATAAATTTATAGATAAAGAAACGATAGACAAAGACAATTTACATTATTATTCTCATATTTAGAACATTAGATTTGATTGATATTTTTGATTTATTTTGTTCTTCTTATTTTTATTCAGATATAATTTTTATTTATAAATTTTAGTCAGATTTCAGATTTATTTGTTCTGCAATTTATATATTTGTATTTTATTTAAAATTAAATATTAATACACAATGAGAATCTAAAATTGTGTGGATGGATTGTTCGATAATTATTCATTTGGAAGATATTAATTAAAAATATACGATATAATTAAAATATATTACAAAACAAAAAATGTGTAATCATTGTAAACGCGCTGAATATTGTAAAATTACATTTCATTTGATACGCGATATTAAAATAATATTAATAATAATAATGAGATTATAATTAGCTGTGTTCTTATATATAATTGAAACATTTTAATTAGTATACATGCACACACATGTTTGCATACGTAAAGGAGAATATGTTTATAGTTAAAAAAAAAAATAAATAAAAAATAAAAAATAAATAAATAAAAACAATATGCATACGTAAGTATGAATGCATCGTAAACGATAAGAACACAACTATGACGAACATAATCATCGACTATACTCTAATAAATATTATTATTCTTTTCTACGTATTTTTAACATCTTTTTTTCTTTCTTTTTTTTACATTTAATTAAAATTATCTTGCATATATATATATATATATATATATATATATATATGTAAATACGGTTTAACATCATATTTTGTAAAGTCAAATTA